CACCCTGGTTGCCCTTCGGCCCTGCCCCCCTCCCCCCTTTCTCCCCGCCTCGCTGCCCTGCCATGGCAGCCCACGGTCCCGCCGCCGGGGCAGTACCGGCCCCGCCAGCCCACGGTAGACCACTGTTCAATTGCAAGGCTTCCAGCCCCATCAGCCCTACTGCAGCAGTACTGACCCTGCCACCAGGGCTTCCTGCCCCTCCATGGCAGACACAACCTGCTAACATTCTAGCTGCCCTGATGCTGGCTAAGACGGGCTCCCAGCCACTGAGCCCCCTGCAGCCAGCCTGGCTGAGTTCCCAGTCCCCACATGGCTCCTGCCTCTGGCCCTCAACCAGGACCCTCTGCCAGACCATGGATGTTGCCGTACTAGAGTTCCTGTTTAGAGATGTTCAACCTATATACTAGTAATTACTTCATGCAACTCCAACAAGTCCTGAGTGTTTTCTAGATAAAAGCAAAGCAGCTTAGCATCTAAGAGAATATATTTATCCAAGTGTTGTACTAGTTTAGTTGTACAATTACATACAAGGAATTTCCCATAAATTGAGGTGAACTTCATGGAGCTGGAATTCCCAATGTGGTTACTTTTTAAAAATGATAATGGTAAAGCACTTTAGTGATGTAACAAACACATAAAAATATTAACCATATAACCAATAAAAAAGTGTATCAGTTACACAGTTAACCACCCCCAGACCTGCTGGTTCACTGGGGATGCCAGCATTCCCGGTCCCATGGGACTGTTGGAGCTGTCAGCAGCCCCATGAAGAATTTAATTGATGCGGATAACAGATAAGCATTCTCTTATCAGTTAGCTGGTTAAACTCTTATATCCCTAGTGCACTTGTACCATCACTCTGTATTTTCCCCTTAATTTTCTTTAAAATTGATACCAACTGGTGCTAGAGATTAGCTATCCTTGAATTTGTTCAAGTTGCTCATTAACTAATAATGAGCAGAATCTGCCTATGAAAAGTTCCATTGGAATGGGTTAAAATCAGATGGGGGGAGGGGGAGATCTTCAACGATCTCTTTCCAGACACCTCAACCCCACTTTACTTCCTATGTTCTTTCATCTCTTCAGACTACAATCGTAAATGCAGCCTTTGAACTTCACTATGTTTAAACTTAAATGAGCTCTCTTAGATTGTTAAATAAAGATGTAAGGTAACAGCTCTTAAAAGTAAAAATGGAACTGACAGCTACAAAAGCAACAGTGTGTATCACAAAACAGCTGTCTTAGCATTTACAGTAAGACTAACTAACAGCATCTAGTGCTTGTATTTCATCTTAACACCCTTTAGCATCTCAAAGAACATCAATATAACTGTTGCTATTTTAAAGATGGGGAAACTAAAGCACAAAGAAGGGAAATAACTTGCCCCAGGTAACCCAGCAGGACAGGAAGTTTTCTAAGCCCCAGTTCAGTGTTCATCTCCTAGGCCACTCACTTACCTCATAATGCTCATATTCAGCTACATCAAAAGCACTGAAATCCATGAAGCCGTATTGCAAAGCCTAAAATCCACAATACAACTTTTAACAAAGAATATATCACCATTTAAAATTTCTGCATACCACTTACATATCTATTTTTCACCACTGTGCCAAAGTAATATTTCCTCTGCTTAATAACCCCACTAATTGGACTGAATACAATTTAAGTCAAACATTTTAACACTTGTGAAAAATCATCTAGTATTCAGTCTTGGTCCAGAACCAACCCCTCCATTCCTGTAGCAATGTAAACATATATCAATACAAGAAAGATAAATAAGTAAGCCCACCCGTCTACTTTCACTTAAAAATAAAACCAGAATCCAACTACAGAAGCATTCATGGCAACAAGTCTTAGAACTCTGATTAACTAATTCAGGCTCACCAAGCTTGCTCTACAATACTAAAGAACAATGCAGATATTGCCACTCATGCTGGACCCTGCGCCCTGAGATCAAACCCCTCTGATGGGTTTCAGAATCCAAGCCAGAATACCTACTGCTCTTATTAACCCCACGCCACAAGCTTGAGTCAGTTAACCAAGATTCTGAGAATTGCTGCCACAACTACTTCTCCCCGTGCTGTCCCATCTCAATTGTAGATATATTCAGAATTTCAGTAAAACTTTGGATGACTGAATTAGTGGTGCAGGAAGGAATGAAGGGGTCTGGCAACCAGCTCTCTGATGCAGGTATTTTGTCTTGCAAATACAGGCAGTCCCCGGGTTACGTACAAGATAGGGACTGTAGGTTTGTTCTTAAGTTGAATCTGTATGTAAGTCGGAACTGGCGTCCAGATTCAGACACTGCTGAAACTGACCACCAGTTCTGACTTACATACAGAATCAACTTAAGAACCCCAGGCGTCCCCAAGTCAGCTGCTGCTGAAACTGATCAGCAGCTGATTCCAGGAAGCCCGGGGCAGAGCAACTCTGCCTGGGGCTTCCTGTAGTCAGCGCTGGTCAGTTTCAGCAGAAGCTGACTTGGGGACGCCTGGGGCAGAGCAGCTGGGGTGCT